ACACACACAGACACACACACGATCAGATCAGGTGATAAAAACACAGAGTTCAGGTGTTTGTTGAGTTTTATGGTGAAGCTGTTACCGAGGCGACTCCAGGACACAATGGGGCGGGGGTTCCCTGTGGCGATACACTCCAAGATGGCCGTCTGGTGGATGTTGATGGTGAGGTTCTGAGGTCCAGACAGAATGACAGGCTCCTGGTAGATTCTGGATCCTGCAACTGGACCCAGAGAAACCAGAAACCTTCATTAGCACAGAAACCACATTAAACCTGACTCTGCCCTCAGTCTGGTCTGTCAGTCTCTTTGCCCTCAGTTTGGTCTTACCAGTCACAGACAGCTGGGCCTCATGGCTGTATCGAGTGTTGGCGATGTTTGAGGCGACACAGCGAAACAAACCACTGTCCTTTCGCTGAACGCTGGTGATTTGCAGGATCCCGTTAGGGAGCAGAGTGTACCTGTACGTAAATATACATGAACAGAACATGTATTAATACACGTTATTCATTTTGCATGATGTGTTAGTGTGACAGTTCCAAATATACCTGGGGTCCGCTGTGCTCAGTGGGCGTCGGTCTCTCTGCCAGGTAATGTTGGCCTCTGGAATTCCATTAACCTGACAGGTGAGTCTGGACACACCCCCTTCATCCACAGCAACAGACTCTGGGTGAGACAGGAACTTAGGCAGGGCTGGGGGGGGAGTGAGGTCATTATATATATATATATATATGTTTCTGTATGTTACATGTATGTTTCTGTCTGTTATTTGCAGTGACTCACATGCGAGCTGGACTCGGGCCTTGCGGCTGATCAACATGCCGTAGCGGTTCTGGGCGGCGCAGTCGTACTCTCCTGCATCCGCCTCGTTACTCTCTCGTCTCTTGGAGAAGTTTCTGATGAGCAGCGTTCCGTTGCTGAGCACCGTGGCCTTGATGCCGGATTCCACAGGAACACCATTCCGTCTCCAAGTGATGGAGATAGGTCCCTCCCCTTCTACCTGACAGTCAAGCATTAGGGGGCGGTCCCGCACCGCAATGATATCATTGGGTTCTTTGAGGAAGGCCAGCTCTGATGCTCCGCCCACACCTGAGAGGAGGAGACACGCTTTTACATCCAGGAACTTTAGAAAAAATAATAGAATGAAGTTTCAGCTCGACTGATGGATGATGTCATTGTTATTATTATCATTATTATTAACAACAGAAAATACTCACTGAGTGAAATGATGAAGATGAGAATGATGATGAAGATGATGTGTCACAGTATCGAACACACGCTGCTCAGAAGTGTTTCTTTATCAGTCTCATGTGATTGGTGCTTCAAAGGCTCATGGGAAATGTGATTTGGTGATAAGAAAAACCAGAAGCTACAGATTTTATATCAAAATAAACACACACACTCACATCCTCCTCCCCCATCACTCAGGCGACAATGCCCCCCCCCCATCCTCCATCTTGAGCTGGCCCCAGCTGGTCTGTGGAAGAAGGACAACCTGTGATGTCACCCCCCCCTGCACTGACCCCCCAAAAACCTCCCCTAGAACTCCGCAGACCCCCTCCCCTCCCTCTATAGTATGAATGACAACAATAATGACAAAAGTCTGAAGCAGACACAACAGCCCCCCCATCCCAAAAAACACCAGGACCTCGAAATACACCAGACAACCCCCCCCCCACCCATCCTGCAGCTGCTTCACTTAAATTCATTCACGTTCTTTTGTTTCAAGTTCAAGTTCAACTGGACTGAGAGCCGACACTGAGCCGACAGGATGAACAACTCAGGGTCACATGCTGGACGAGAATCAGCACAGCTAACAATCTGCTCTGGACTCATATTCAGGTCCTGGTCTGAAGTGAACCTGCAGACAAACTCACCAGAAAGTGATTTATTTACGTGTGAAAAGATGAAGAACTGGATGAAACTAAACTTGCTTTAGTTAAATGATGTCAGATTAAAACCTTGGCCTCAACGTTCTCTTAAATTCAACCTGTATCATTGATTTCAAGGCCAAAACACTTGATGACGCCAAGGTGCACAACTGAAGTTATGTCCCTAGCATCACATCTGTGGTAACCTAAATTGTGCTGAAGACCTTCAAACGTATGAGAGACATTCACTCTCTAGTCGGATATTCTAAGATTGATGGTTTCATTTTTTTCTCACACAAATATCAAAACTGATCCAGACGCTGCAGGTTGAACTCAACTAACAAGAGTTTGTTGCAACAGTTAGAGAAGATTCAAATAATCCACCTGACCTGTTTTTTAGCACTTGGATATACGATGACCTGGATGACTGAGAATCTTCACAGACAAATAATAAAGTTACTCTGGAACCAAAACCTGAAACTGAGTAGAAGTATGAAGTGTAAGAGAGTAAAGGTGCAGAGTAAGGATTTGTTGCAGGTTGTGGCTGATGTTGGGAATTTGTGTGAAAAATGAGGACGTGAGGACATGAGGACGTGAGGACATGAGGACGTGAGGACACAACTCTTTGTAAGTGGTCTGATCTGCTGATGGGGGGGGGTCGTTAAAATCACAGAGCAGACGGTCCACCCCCCCCTCCCTCGTCACCCCGACCTCTAAATCCCTAAAATCCTTGTCGACCCTGAAAGGTCGTCAGAGGTCATGAGAGCCTCGGTTCAGCAGCCCTCCCTCTCTTTCTGTGGTCTATTGTCGCACGCCCAGACTCTGACCGTGACCGTGAATTTCATGACGCGACAATAACCTACCCCCCCCAACACTCAGATACACACACATACTCACAGAGAGACACACACTCACACACATACACAGAGATACACACACACACACACAAACACACAGAGACACACACWCACACACACACACACACACACACTCACACACAGAGATATACACACACACACACACACACACACACACACACTCATTGGCATCATGCATCGTCTCGCCTCACTCTAACCATCACAACTAGATAAGTAACACAAACCCTAAAAGTCCTCACCCTCAAACACACACACACACACACACACACACACACACACACAGTCTTTTCATTAAACTGTTATCCGCCTCATGACTTCACATTTCATTAATAATCATAACCATAGTAAACATGTCAGACCTGAGCAGCAGATCATCATCATCATCATCATCATCATCGTTGTGGTCGTCTGGCTCCGCATCTTCTTCATGAGTTAAATCCAAATCATCAGAAACATCCAGAGGTTCATCACAAATCTCCTGTTCTTCTCCTCCTCTCCTCTTCCTCTCCTCTTCCTGCTGTTGATCCTCTGATCTTCTTCTTCTTCTGATTCAAACTGGCCCACAGTGACTGACACTGGGGGCGTGGTCTCCGTGAGGGGTGGATCCACATGGTCCACAGGGACCAGGGGGCGGGGTCACTGATGAAGTCGACCTGAATCTGACATTTATAACA